CTTTAATTTGTTTTCGCAATTTGGTGAGCTCTGTCATCCATTTTAATACTTTTGGATTGGCTGCAATATCACTGTAGGAGGGCTGAAAATATAAAGAAAGAAGTCACTGACATCTGTGTGTGGTAAGCAACTTCTATGTTAATTATAATTCCCACAGCATAGATTTTACTCAATCCTCATTTTACCTTTTTAAATTATATGCAGGAAATAGAAATATCAAGTACAGCTCTCCTAGAGAAGAATCTAAATAACTGACTCCTCCCTTTACATGGTTAGGTATTTTTGTTGTTCTTTTTCTTTTTTTAAATTGTGATTTCAATCAAAGTTTACAAAGCTAATTCACTTTCTAGTCAATCAACCACACACCTATTGCTCTAAGATATTAACTACAATACCCACACTGTAAGCAGCTGTGCTCTCATTTTACATGTTTTAATATATGTAAGCATATACATATGCTCTTCTTAGAATGTATGTGGCTTCTGTGGTAACAGAAACAGTATTAAGATGATTTTTCATTACGGCATTGAAGTCTATGGGGGAGAGAATAGTCTAAAAGTATTATATTTTAGGGCATTATTTTTATCGTAGGAGTATACAATGAGGGTTGCAGAGTGGATTATATTTGGGGCTAGGGGGTGGGGGTGGATTGTGTACCAATGAGGGAGTTTTTCTTTTGCTTTTCAAGGAGAGGAGCAAATGGGGGGGGAGGGGGGAGAGGTTTGTGTGGGGAGAAGGGTGCAACAATGAATGAATGGAATCCCAAAATCTCTGTAGATGTTGACTGAAATGAAAAATAAACAACCTAAATTAAAAAAAAAAAAAAAAAAGATGATTTATCAATGCAAATTATATGCTTTAAAATCCTAAATGTTGTGTGGTCAATGGAAATTCTTTGGACTGAATGCCAATAATGACAATTAAATGACTGAGGTATAGAATATGCACAGTGTAATAAACATATAACATTGAAAATAGAAAACAAGAGTTATCAGTCTGCAAATGACAATAACAAAGCAAAAAGAGAGAATAAGAACTGTTAGGGCTGGCAGGGAAGAGCGGGGGGAGAATAAGAGTGAATAGATAGTGAACACTGTATTGGAACAGATGAGGGAAAGAACTGTTTAAAAAGAATGTATGATTAGGCATTATATATATGACAACAATCTGGAATAAAAGGTACATTGCAAATGGATTGGAGGAGAGGAAGGGGGGGAGGAAAATGCAACAATGAATGATTTTTAAAAACAAATAAAATGCTAATATAATCATCCTTTTAATAAAAGTAGTTATGAACTTCTAAATGGAGAAGTCAAGGCAATTACAAGATGAAGTGAACAGTTAAAAGATACGGGAATAAAAAGCAATTTGTAAAGTAATCTCCAAGAAAATTAGTAAAATTTCTCACCGATATGAAAAGGGGGAATCATAAAAATTTATAAAACACTAAAAAAGAAGGAAGGAAAAAGAGAAAGATGAGCTATAAACAAAATGAACACAACCAAAAAAAGAACAAAAAGAATGCAACACAGAAAAGGAGAACAAAGAAGACAGCAACACCACAAAAAAACAAAGCACGAAACACTGCCTAACAAGGATGCACCCTGAGGACAGTGTGCTTGAAATCAGTCACAAAAGGATCACTATTAGACAAAGGCAAAGAAAGAGTTACACACAGAATTCATGGTTACCAGGGAGGAGAAAGAGGGGAATTTAAAAAAAAAATAAATAAAAAATCACAAATGGATAATTTGGGTAAAATTTAAATGAAAGTAAAAATATAGGTATCAGACATTAGGATTAATGACATTACTGTAATTAATGCTACAAAATGTGAAGGAACTAACGATCCAATGAAATTCTATTATTTTACAAAACAAAATATATACAAAGTGCTAAAATGAAAAACTAACATTGTAAACTTTGCTTCAAATACAAATTAAGAAATGAACTTCATCTCCTCCATCGTTCTTGCCTCTCTCATTTTATTCTCTGTTCTATACCTTATTATTCCCTTAAAAGCATTTATCACTATTTATCATTATGTCTTCTATCAACTCCACAAGAACAGGGACTAGGTCTATTTTATATACTGTTGTGTACCCAGATTCCAATATAATGCTTCACACAGTATTCAGCACTCATTCGAGGATGTTTTTGTGAGATATGGTGCCATAATACTCTTAAGACAATTAAAAGGAACCTGATCTCTCTGATAATACAGGACAATCTTATAGGCGAAAAAAGGCAAAATTAGACACAGTTTATGTTATATGATCCATTTATGTTTAAATATATATATTACAGATGTCCAAAAAACTACCAAACTTAATACTGGTTGCCTCTTAAAGAGGGTGGTGTTGGGAATATGAAGTCACCACTGAAAATTATTTTACATCACTGATATTTTTAAAATATCCCTCAAACTTACTGCCATCAAGTGAGACCAACTCATAGCTGACCCTCCAGTGGGTCTTCCGAGACTTCCTATAATGCTGAACTTCTAGATAGAATTACAGTGGTTCTTTGTTTCACAAAGCTGCTCGTGCATTCAGACTGCCAGAGAGGAATATGTGGCCAGAGCTCTTTCACTCATATTTGGTGGTATTTCATTATTTATACTTTGTATGTGTATTATTTTCTCTTTTTAAAACAAATACAAAGATGCAATGACTAAAATACTAGCCTAGAGACCAGAGATAGGTGGCCAAGGATCTACAAGGCCTCAGAGCTACATGATCTTTGTCTGTCTAGGAAGTTCCAATTTCTTCTCTCTCAGGACATAGCTGGAGTAAAGCTGATCAAAGATTCTCCCTGTAGCACTAATACTATCCATAGCTCATGTTGGAAACATTGTAAGCTTACCTTGCTGTTTCTTTCCCTTTCAAACTGTTCCTCAAATTGTTTTATTTTTTTCTGAAGTTTCTTGACCAACTGATACGGTGTCCTATCTTCTCTTTTCTCCTCTTTTGAACTAAATGATGATCTTCGAATTCTCAATTTAAAATGAGAGATAACAGTTAAGTTCTCAGATATCAACATATTGCTCATACCTCTGTTGTAACCTGACACTGTTAACAAGAAGTTGACTTAAGAGTGAAATTAAGTCTCTAACACTAAAAGATAGGTAGTAAAAAGAAACAGATACTATAGTGTTTGAGACCACTAAATTAACATAGGTGGTCATAAATACACATTAAAATAATTAAAAAGTCATTTGTACAAAAGCAGAAGAAGCAAAGATACCTAGCAGTGTAGAGCTATTAAGAGAAAGTTTTTGACATTCAGAATCAAATTAAAGCTTGGACAACAAAGAAAAGTATTAAGGACTGATAAGTTCCAAGTCCTGCTAACCTTTCAGCATACTGTATTTCAGTCATAAAATGGGTGCACTCTAAGAAATGTCTTTTTAGTGGAAATCAAACTTTTAAAAAAAATTTAGAAAACCCAAACAAAAAAAGACATTTTAACAGAAGCCAAAAAGCACAAATATTTTAAAAAATGTGTTTCATTGCATAGATCTTTCTTTCTTTTTTTTTTTTTTTTTGGTGGCCTGTACGGGGAACAAATGCATAGATCTTTCTATCTAAAAGACTATCTCTAGGAAGATCTGAGTACTTAACAGTGATTGGCTTTCACAAGTGTCTAGAAATGATATACCTAGCAAAAGAAAGTGCTTTGGATGAGGAATCCATTGTTTCTGGATCAAGAAGGAAACGTTGGCTTTGCCCAAAATCTAAACTACGGTGTGATAATACTGGAGGACAGTCCTCTTCCAAAGGATGATGATTCATTCTTCCAGCTTGTGGCGAGAGCTGAGCCTCTCCAGACTCAGAATCTTCCTGCCAAGACTTAAAAGCAGGAAATGGATCTGCAAAACAAATACAAATAATAGTACCATAAGTCTTTTGATGCCACAAGGAAAGTAAATTCACAAAATATCAGTACTTTAAATCATTTCATTATGAAGTGTTTCATTATTTAGCTATATGTATGTATGTATGTACTTGAAGCTATGAGGATCTTCATACAGCCTTCTAGAATTTAAAATTATCTGAGCTTTTTTTTTTTAGCTCATTGTGTTTTCATGGACAGAGTTACACTTTAAATTTCTGAACCTACTGCAAAGCGAAAAAAGACACTGTCAAGCTCATTAGGATTCTATATTATTTTTCAAGTAGGAAAAGTCTTTATTTAGAAAGAGTAAATCCTCAACAGTCCTAAGTTAATTGAATTTACAAGTCAAATCCTGTCAGGTGAATCAACTGTCTTCTATTTTTGAGGATCAAAATTGATGTTAAGAAAATAAAACTATTCTGCATTCAAGAGTTTGCACAGAACACTCACTAAATGGAGCTCTTTGACACCAGAATAACTGCAACATTTCCACATAAACAGTTAACTCACCTGACAGCATGGGGCCTCTAACATTAAACTGCTGGTTATCTATATTTTAGGATTCCCTATGTCATGTCTATGCAATTATCTAACACTATTCAAGGCAAAATTTAAGAACACTCGTCCTTCTAAGTCTCCAGTTTGGAGGCTCATGTGTGAAGCAGTTGGATTCTGGAGGGTGGGTTCTCTTGTTTTAGTTGAAAGTTGGGTGTAAACTGGTTATTTTTATTTCATTCTCATCATGTGTGAGCTGACTGGATTTAGCTAACAATCAGCTGTGGGCTGGAAGCCTCTTAAGTCAATCAGGACCTGGTAGATGGGCCTTTTTATTTAAAAGTCGGTTGGGGCATTTGTATTTGGGAAGAACATTCTTCTAAGTGATACAGCATTCATCTGTCAGTTTGCTATATTTAAGTAAGCTGGTGTTGCTGCAATGCTGAACACTGTACCACTGGTGTGTCAAATGCCATAATTATTACCTATAGTGCACAGTGTTTGGTGGAGCTCCCAGATTAAGACAGGTTTGGAAGCAGGATTGGCATCCACTTCCTAAACAACATGCCTTTGGAAACTCTATGAACATTAGAGAAATAACAATATTTATAGAACTATTGAACAGGGTTCAGATCTTTTGTTCATAAAGTCACTATGAATTGTGCTCAACTAGATAGCACTTAACAACAAAATCCTTAAGTTCCATTTATTTTATGGGAGTTATCCTGTCTGAAGTGAAGGTGGCATATTTAAAATCTCTACACACGTAACAGCATCAGGATGGATGGTGAAGAGATTGAGATTGTTCACAGCTTTAGTCTGTTTGGCTCCACAGTCAACACTCTTGGCACCAGTAGCCAGGAAATTAAAAGACATACTGCCATGGGAAAGTATGCTGTTAGGAACCTTTCCAAAGTCCTAAAGAGCAATGGTGTCTCTCTGGAGACTAAGGTGCATCTGAAACAGGCCATGGTCTTTGCAATCACTTGTTATACATCATAGAGTTGGACAATGACTAGCGAGGATATAAAGAGAATTGATGCCTTTGAGCTGTGGTGCTGGAGAAGAATGTTGAGGGTACCATGGACTGCTAGGAAAACAAACAGATTCATCCTAGAGAGGGTGAAACAGGGAGGCTCCTTGGAGGCAAGGATTCTGAGCCTTCATCTAACATACTTTGGACATGTTGTAAGAAGGGACCAGTCTTGGAGAGGGATCTTGCTTGGGAGAGTAGAGGAAGAGCACAGCAAAGGAAGACCCTCTATGAGGTGGACTGATTCAGTGACTTAGGGTAATCAGGATGGGTGTGTTGGAGACAGTGAGATTGGCACAGGACACAGCAGGGTTTAGGGCTGTTGTACATAGGGTCACTACGAGTCACAAGCGACTCGACGGCACATAACAACAACAAAAACACACGTAACATATACAATCTGTAACATATTCCAAGCACAAAATTAAATTCAAGTATCACTAGGTTATCAGGAGGGAGGGGGTACACTTTTCCCACTATATATTAGTTTTACATATAAATACAAACCAAAACTTTGATCTATGGTTATTAACACTAGAAACAATGAATTCTTATGTACTGTTTAATGTAAAGATAGCCTGACAGTGTCAAAATTCAAGAGTGATGCTTTATTTTTCTTTATAAAACAGCTAAAGACTATAGTCTTTGTAATTTTGCTAAGGACTATAGTAATCTAGTTCTGCATTTATTCACGGGCCATTTGTAACATTACTTTTTCTTCAGGATAACAACATAATTTGGTTAGTTTTTAAGCCCAGATCAATCTGATAACTGATAACAAAGCGTGCAAACCCATAGAAAACCCAGCAATAAAGTGATTTTTCAAAGCAACCCTTGTACCTGCTTCCCAGCAAATAAGAAACCGATCACATAATTTAAATGAAATCTCCTGTTTAAGAGGAAAATAACAAAAACAATGTTCTCTGGTTATCATTTTTAACCCAGAACAGTGTTCCCGAGCATAGGGGGCAGCAGGAGAAGGGCTAATAATAAAGCAAACAAATTTAAACCATAAAAAGGAAAAAAAACAAAACCAACCCCAACACTAAACTATGGTGAACCATACTTACCCTCCCCATCTCTCTGCAGATGCATTGTTTTGAAATCAATGAGGGGGAAAGTGATAGGGCATGACGCTAATAAAATGGAAAAAAATGGCAAAAAATACTAAAGTGAACACACAGCACAGTCAGAACAAACCATACACATAAACTAACACAAAACCAAAGATACCAAAAACATTTCCCTAAAATCAGTTAAGCATTCTGCTCAAAAACTTTATTTAAAGGAATTACTACTAACCAAACTTTAAAGCACACACATACATTTCCATTTCAGCAAGCAAGGCAAAAAAATCAAAGTAGTAGTGTTTTATTAAAACTAAAGTGTAAGGCTGAAGAAACTAATTAAAACTTTTCTAATATGGTTTTAAGCTTTTCTATACTATTAATTTGACAGAGAAAAAAACACTGGAAAAATTATCTTAATTTGCTCTCTGAAAGTTCCTAAAACAGTTCATTCTAGAGTAAGCAGAAGAAAATTTGAAGGAAAGATAGATAGTACTCATTTACACTAAAAGCTATTTGAATAGTTGCTACCAATTTATGCTGGTGGGAGTCATGCTCTACCTGCTTGCTAACTGCATTCTGCTATCCTTTGAGATATACAAAAACAAGTTATCATATACTCAGAAATAGTGAAGTAGCCTTTTATTTGGAGCACACTCCCCAATTCTTCAGTAGAGTTACATCAACTCTGTGTTTCTCATTCCAAGACATCTAGTGTCTAAAGTAATTTTTTTTCTCTTAAAGACTTTTGTATTTAGAATATCTAACTTTTAAGTTATGGAAAAATTAGTCAGCTAAAAGCTGCTATTTGAAGCATATGCAAGGCTCATATAGCTGGAAAGTTCTCTCAGTTGTCTTTCGATTTCTTAGAGTCAATGTCCCCAATTCCTGTTAAGAGCCAACAGGAAGCCTATATGAACTTGTCACTGCTGTTGAACCAGCTGGTCAATGGAAACCAGGAATCAAGAATGTAGACTGATAAGGACACAAAAGGAAGAAGCTTGTCATATTCTCTTTGGCAGTGATGGTGATGACGCCTACAGAAAGATAAAGCTACACAGAAAACATCCAGGTCAAAAACTGTAAAGGGGTCCATTTACTAATCTGCATCCTCTAAAGAAAAGCAACCTAAGGGTTTTATCAAAATCTCTGTCCCATCGTTCAGAGATTACTTTCCTTCGGAGGGTCCAGGGATGTGATCACCACTCCTTTTTAGAGGCAATGTCAGCATAAGTACCTAAAAAGGACATTTAATCTTTACTGCCATTAGTACAATAACACAGCCTCTAAATCAAGGGAGCATCTTCATAAATTCCAAACATTCTGAATAACCCAGAACAAAGCAAAGACAACTCCCTGATTTAGACTGAGTTAACACACAAAAGGCCACCGAGTATGTCAAACATCAAGACCGAAAAAGGGGGGAGAGGGAGGCAACAGAACAGCAATAAAGACTGGCACATACAAAAACTTGGTTGCAGACTTTTAAAAACTTAACTAGATCAGAAAACAAAAACAAACTTCAGATATGATCAGGTGGGTATAATTAAAGCAGTAAAAGGATTCTATGGTATATCAATTTCTCTTGTGATTGCCGACATATGCCATAAGATGGCAAAAGATGAGGCAAATAAGGGATTGTCATCCACGTGAGCAAATATGTACTTCAGCTAAGATTCCTGAGTTGTCTCTTTACTTATAAAAGAATGATCCAAATGGACTACTAGGTCTAATTTGCTGCTTGTCTTCTACCCCCAATGTCTGATTTACAGTGTACATAGCAAGGCTAAAAGAGTTGTACACGGAGCATCAACATGCCAATCACCAGACTCAACAATTTATCAGACATAATTTAGTAACATTTATCTATTCCATTAACCACTCAATATTTTTTCATGGATTTCAAAGTAACTAGATGAGTACACCTCCTCCTAAACACCACAGCATGCCCATCAATCAGAATTGTTCACTATTTGTTGATATCTTTTTCTTCTGATGTAAAAAATAAATACATATAGTGAAATGGAAGGCGCATAGCAGACATTTGTAGAGTTTTGACAAATACATATACTTAAGATGCTTGCTTTTGAAATTTAATCCTTTTCTCACCTTTGTGCAAACTGTTAGCACTACTCATTTTCATATTCCAATGCAGATACAGGAATATGGCACACTATTTACTCAAATTACTCCTGAAGCTCACTTTAAAAAAACAGTCACTGATAATCATAAGGGTAGCTACGTAAGACCAGTTTAAAATGCTGAGGTACAAAGTCAGGGAAATGTCTCTAGCATGGTTTCACAATTAACAAAAGTATATCCTAAAGGTGATTTTATTATACCCAACACAGTTGTCCCATAATTTCATTAATACATTTAAGTATACCTATATTGCTTATTTCCTATCATGCTATCTGACATTTTACATTCACCATACATTAGCTATAGTAAAAACTCTATTTTGTGCACTGACTACACATGCATGGCAGTGATAAATGCCAATGTGTAATGTTGTTGTTGCTGTTATGCACCACTGAGTGAGAAGAGACTCATAGCTGACCCTCAAGTGGGTTTTCAGAGGCTGTAAATTACAGGGGAAGAGACTGCCCATCTCTCTTCAATGGAACAAGTGGTGAACTTGAACCAAGTGCTTTTTGGCTCACAGCGCAACTATTTACCATTCAGGCAACAGAATCACTCAAGATGCAATAGGAGAGTAAAAGGAATATGTCACCTCAACTGGGCCATCATTCTCACTGGTTTGGCAGAAATGGAATAATGTACTGTGGCAGTATATAATGGTGTAGGCATCCTCCATTTTATGACCTGATGCAGTCACCTTCCATTTACATATAACATCAACATCACATAAAGACTTGGTCTTTAGAACCTAACTATGTTGATAAATGAGAAGTTAGTGTGAATTTAAAAAAACACTCACTCATTTTGTAAGAAAGGAAGAAAAGAAGATGAAGACAAGTAAGGTTATCCAGAAAAAGCCAGTAACCTCATTGCTTTGGATCATACCAGTTACAAATAGCATATCAAGAAAAAGAATGTGTGTGGGTAAAATTACCTTCCCATTTATCACCATCAGAAACATTCTTCAGATCTAAATGTGGTATTTGGACACATGCTGCTTCCCCTTGAACACCAACACTCTGATCTCCTGGCACTTCTGATTCAGTGTTGGCATTCAAATCACACATCTTGTTACTAGACTCCTGTATTTTAAAATAAAGAATATATTTCACAACCACAAAGCTTTTCACACTCAGGTTAAATGACTGCCGGCACATACACATAGAATTTTTCTCTAACTTACTGTGCCCAGACAGCCTTTCCTAACATCTAATCTATTTTCAAATATAAAATTGCAGTTTTATGTCTTACTGGAGGCAAATATATTTGAAATTCTCAACCGAGAAAAGTATTTTCATAACCTCAACTAACTTACTGCTGTAGTGTCAGAACCAACTCAAGAGTTGACTCTCCAGCAGGTTTTCAGATGCCATGAAATGCATGAGAGGAGAGTGCTCATCATTCTCCCGCGGAGCTGCTGGTGGATTCAAACTGCCAGAGGTGACCATGCCTTTGGGTTAACAGCGCAACTCCTTCAGGCTTTGCCACCAGAAATCCCTCTTTCATAACCAAGCACATTAGAGTAAAAAGTGGCAAATTGAGCCTCAATTTAATAGGAGTAGCCATATTTAAATGTTTGTTAAGCCTATGTAACTCAAGAATTAAAGAACAGATATAATACCTGATATTTTAAATACAGTCAACATTTTAAGAACCATAAGATAAAATCATTCTTACCAGAATTAAATGTGACAATGTATCACTGTCAAATGACAGACATTCTTTCCTAAAAATATAAGCAAAGTGATTAGTGTTTTAAGAATAAAATGGTTAAAAAAAAATAAAATGGTTACTATCAGTGTTTACATCTTACGTAGGTTCTGCTCATTCCTCACATAGTAAGTACTGAGTTATGTGAGAGGAGAATATGACAACTGGACATATGTCCATTCTTTGGAGCCCTGTATCTGAAAATCAAACAAAAATGAAAAGATCTACAGAATCACTACCAGGTTAGAAAATGTGAGTAATGTTCACTCACAAACCAACCAAAAGAATAAAAATCTTTAAAAAGGAAAAGCAAAATTCACAGTAAATAGAAACCAAAAAGAATAAGAAGTTTAATGGAAAAGATTATGTAGAAATTACTGTTATTTTTAAGTAAACAGCTTTATCCTCTCCTACTCAAATATATTCTTTGCCTTTTAAAGAATTTCAGAAATAAAGCTAAGTCCTTTATTTAGAACCTAAATCTGATTGTGTCCTATCACAATTATTCCATGTCTCCTTTAAAACATTAACATCTGTTGTTATGTGCCATCGAGTTGTTTACGACTCATAGCGACCCTATGTACAACAGCCCTAAACCATGCTCTATCCTGTGCCAATCGCACTGCCTCTGACATACCCATCCCGATTACCCCAGTCACTGAATCAATCCACCTCATAGAGGGTCTTCCCCTCCTGCACTGTCCCTTTACCCTTACCAAGCATGATGTCCCTCTCCAAGGACCCGTCCCTCCTTGCAACATGCCCAAAGTATGTCAGACGAAGCCCCAGAATCCTTGCCTCCAAGGAGTTGCTTGGTTTAACCCTCTCCAGGATGAATCTGTTTGTTTTCCTGGCAGTCCCTCGTACATTCAATACTCATCTCGAGCACCACAGCTCAAAGGCATCAATTCTCCTTCTGTCCTCCCTAGTCATTGTCCAACTCTCTGATGCATAACAAGTGATTGCAAAGGCCGTAGCCTGTATCAGGCACCCCTTAGTCTCCAGGGAGACACCATTGCTCTTGGGTACTTTAGAGAGGTCCCTAAGAGCAGACTTTCCCATCGCAATACGTTTTTTTATTTCCTGTCTGCCGGTGTCAAGAGTGTTGACTGTGGAGCCGAGCAAACTGAAGCTGTGAACAATCTCAATCTCTTCGCCATCCATCCTGATGATACCAATTGGTTCAGTGGTGAGAATCTTTGTCTTCTTGACATTGAGCCTCAGTTCATACTGAAGGCTACAGTCCTTGACCCTCTACAGCAAGTGCATGAGGTCCTCCTCAGTTTCAGCAAGCAGGGTTGTTATCATCTGCATAACGCAGATTATTAATAGATCTTCCACCAATCCTGACGCCACAATTCTGATAGAGAATAGAGCCCAGCCTCCCGGATAATCTGCTCTGCATACAAGTTGAAAAGGTATGGAGATAGGACACATCCCTGGTGTACACCCTTCCCAATTTTGAACCATGCAGTGTTACCCTGCTCTGTTCTGACAACTGCCTCTTGGTCCAAGTATAGGTTTCGCATTAGCACAATTAAATGTTCTGGGATTCCCATTCTTCTCAGAGTCAGCCACAGTTTGTTATGATCCACACAGTCGAACGCCTTTGCATAATCAATGAAACACAGATAGACATTCTTCTGGTATTCCCTGCTTTCAGTTAAGATCCATCTAACATCAGCTTTAATATCCCTAGTACCACGACCCCTTCTAAACCTAGCCTGGACTTCTGGCAATTCTCTGCTGATGTGCTGTTCCAGTCGTTTTTGGATAATCTTCAATAGAATGTTGCTTGCATGTGAAATCAATGATATTGTTCTGTAGTTTCCACACTCTTTTGGGTCACCCTTCTTTGGAATGGGAACAAATATAGATCTCTTCCGGTCAGTTGGCCAAGTGGTTGTTCTCCAGATTGCTTGGCACAACTTGGTGAGCATATCCTGGGCAGCATCCGTTAGCTGAAATACTTCAATTGGTATACCATCTATTCCTGGGGCCTTATTTTTTGCTATTTCCTTCAAAGCAGTTTCAACTTCTTCCTTCATCACCATAGGCTCTTGCTCATATGTTATTTCATTAAATTCTTCTGTATCTGCCAATTCCTTTTGATACAATGACTCAGTATATTCCTTCCATCTTCTTTTAATACTTCCTGGATCATTTAACATTCTGCCTAAAGCATCCTTGATTATAGCAACTCTAGGTTTGAATTTGTTCTTCTTCAGTTCCTTGACCTTAAGCTGAACGAGCTGGCCCTTTTGTTTTTCCGACTCTAGCTCCTCGCACATTTCATTGTAATATTTTGCTTTCATTCTGAGCTAACTTTTGGAATCTTTTGTTCAGCTCTTTAGTATCTTGAGTTCTTCCTTGTGCTTTGGCTTCTCTACGCTCCAGTGCAATCTTCAGAGTCTCTTCTGACATCCATTTTGGTCTTTTCTGCCTCTTCTGTCTTTTTAATGACCATTTGCACTCTTCCTGGATGATACATTTGACATCTTCCCACAACTCATCTGCCTTCGCTCATTAGTGTTCAAGGCCTCAAACCTATTCCTGAAATGATTCTTAAATTCAGGTGGGATGAAATCAAAGTCATATCTACAAGGAATTTTTTTAAAGATGTCAATCTTTCTCTTACTCTCCTCCAAAGATTAACCCCTATTTAATACAAATGTTACAATAAATTGACAGCGTCCCTACATACCAGCAAAAAGGACATCTGATATTATACTAGGTAACCAGTATGTCTGTTGTGGTAAATTACAATGATAAACTTAAGTGTAGCTTCCATCTAGTCATAATGATGTGAACTCTGAGGAGATACTTTGATATGTCAACTTATTTGTGTTCCGTTTTATTCTTGCTGAGTATAAGAGAACTAAATTTCCTGATAAGCTCAAAGACCTTCCTCTGCTTAAGGTGGGAACAATACAGTGCAATGAGCTAAATTTCTACCCTAAAATAAAAGGCCTATATTACTGTTGTGTATCGTTGAGTCGGAACTGACCCATAGCTGATCTTCTGGTAGGTATTCAGGAGCAGTTAATCATTAAAGGCTTAGTAACTTAAATTTGAGAAACATGAGTGTTAACACATGCCAAGTATAATTCACCTAATTAATTAACACTTTGGATCCACAATCAAGTTTGCTAATCTATACACAGAGGAAAGGGGCTTTTTCCCAAAAAGATTTGAGTGCTCACTAAAAGGATCCTTATTGTTCTACCAAATCCAGATGCCATCATTCTAGGGATGCCTGTTAATCTTATATCTTCACCCATATTAGCTCCAATACTCCCTGGGCTGGAAAAAGATTATTCCTGCCTCTTGAAAGGAAGCACAAGAACTGCTGTAAGTAGAAAATCTGTGCATCTTCAGAGTATGGGAAAGACCTGAGACACGGCTTCAAGAATTCATTCACACTCAGAAAAGAAAGCTCCCTACTCAAAATTAAGGGGACCAAGGAATGGCATACTAACAATCTATCATCAATTTAGTAATGTCTTGGGGATTTTGTGATACTTACAGCAGTTTAGCATGCAATTCATCACTAATATGTTTCCAAAAGAGCAAATATTTTCTAAGAAAGTGCTATTTCTTAAAGGAGTCTTACAGAATGATACAAAAATTGAACCAAATCCTATTCAGTGAATTTAAAATATTCAAAAAACTTCTGCCCTAACGGCAGTAGATACTGAGACTCTATAAATAGTCTCTAGTTGAAATACTCATTGACTCTACTATCTCCATCTCATTACAACTGGTCAAGACCAATAAGCACCAGAAAACATAACACTGTATTGACACATACCTAAAGAGTTCAAAAGGAAGAGGTAGCCTCTTGTACCTATTACAAATGTTATCCTTAATCTGTCAAATGCAATAGCTTTGATCATGCATTAATTGACTGTAACATATATTCAGTACCAAAATATACACAACTCTTCTACAAATCACGTTAAGGTTTAAGGAGTCTCCAAGGAGGGTGGTGTTCTCTGTACACATTCCAAACTGTGACTGATTATTTTGGTCTAAGGCTGCATCTCCTTGAACATTTAATACTTTCTACACTTAACAATAAGAAGATTAATTTTGAGACTATCAACCTGTAAATTATAATGGATTCATTTCAGCTTCTCCAAAACATGGGAATATTTCCAATTCTCAAAACTATTAATTAGCAAAAGTAACAGAGAAAATGCTTACCTTCCCAAACAGCTGTCTTCACTCTGACCCTGGTCACTGCATGGCTCTAAGAGTATACCTACAGACTGAAAAAACAAAAAAAAAAAAACAAAAAACCAATACCACTATATTAATAGAGCTTCAACATAGGAGAGGAAATTTCCAGCCCAAAGTAGGTAGTTAAATAGAAATTCTGGATAACTTGTAATCTCATACTCTTACTTAGATTATACTAACTATAGAGTTAACTGTTATATCTTTTAATAGAGTAATTTATATACCCTCAGAGACTCTACATATAGTCTCTAATTGAAATATTCATTGATTCTACTATCTCCTTCTCATTACAACTGGTCATGACCAATAAGCACCAGAACACATAACACTATATTGACACATACCTAAAGAGTTCAAAAGGAGGAGGAAGCCTCTTGTACATATTACAAATGTTACCCTTAATCTGTCAAATGCAATGCTCTCTGACCATGCATTAACTGACTGTAATATATATTCTGTTGTAGAACGCATTTAGATAACAGAAATGGCAAAGGAGGTTGAGTTTCCAAGCATGGAAATACAAAGGAAGAGGAACAGTTGTAAGCAGACACTGGTGATTGGGACATGGAATGTGAGAACCATGAATGTAGGAAAATTAGATATTGTTAAGGAAAAATTGGAACGCGTAAATATTGACATACAAGGCATTGGTGAGATGAGATGGACTGGCATGGGGCATTCTGAGTCGGATGACCATATGATATATTACTCTGGAGATGAAAAAGTGAGGAAAAATGGAGTTGCTTTCATA